CCTTCTGCAGTGCTCCACAACTTTTTTTCATTGAATTATGGCTTTTACACCAAAAGCCCCACAAGCAGAAGTCTAAGAAATGTTATGAAAAAAAAGAGCTGTGAGAGGCTGATTGTCACTTTGGAGTTTGGAGTATAAAAGTCATAATTCAATGAAAAAAGGTTGTGAAGCACTGCAGAGGATCTCATTTTGAAGAGAAGTCTTTGCTCTATCTTACAGAATGATGGGAAAAGTGTTTGCGTAGGGTTTTTAAAGATCCTCGATTTCTGAGAAAACATTTTTTTTCTAAGCAGGTTAAAGTTAAGTTAAATTTTTGAATAATATATATATATGTCGCAGGAGAAATTAAAATTCAGGAAAATTTTAATTTTTCCTAGAAAATATCCGGATAAAATTGAAATTTTAAGTTGTTCTATCCTGTGACATATATACACATCCAAATCAGCGCTGTACGAACCTATCCTCAGATTTATTGTAGCTACTCGGAGTCGCGAGAAAGAATAAAAACAAGTTTGTTTCTAAACTTTTTTCCACTATTTTAGATTATATGAAAAGTGCGTCAAAATCGGATGTCTAGGGAGTATGATAGGTTTCTGACAGGAGGTATCCGTAATAGCTCAAAATGATTTATTATGGAATTAATACAAGATTGATTTTAGTGATAGTTGTGTAACAGATGTTTTTCGTGTTATTTTTAGTAGAAACAAATTGTAGACTGTCAGATTTTGCCGAAGATGAGATAGAATTTAATATTAAGTATAGTAGCGTTTTGTGTAGTATCATTGTTATTTTCTGAGTATCGGTTGATTACTATTTTTAGGTGGCTAAGAAGTGTTATGTTTTCACATGCGAAGTTATTTTCATTGTCGTTTTTTGGTCCGTTGCTATAGTTTGTGAAATCAGATTTTACGGTATGTTTTGGCTGAAAAGTTATACATGTCTCTTGTAACCATGACGAGATTTTTATATATAGGTTGTAGAGGTAATTCAAATTTAAATTGATGATAAGCATGTAGACATAAAATCGAGATGCCCATAGAGATCGAGTTGATTCACCCTGATCAACTGTCTCTAGCGAACTATACGTGTATTCTAGAAAGAAATTAGGATTGGCCTATGTAAAATCCAAATTTTAGTTGTCTAATATAAATCAGCTTACACAAATCTGAAATTGTATGCCAAACCGATTTTAATGTATAAAATAAAATTTGTAATAGAAATTTCCATGCTAAATCAACCGAGATATCGCAGAGTATGTCGGTGAGTCATTCAACAACATTCAGTTCGCAGCAGCAGCAAAACAGAATTTTCACACATGAAACCGATACGATGGTGCAAGATAAAATAAATATTTCTCAGATCTAAAGTGATTACTAAGCATTTTTCTTGATTGAATTACATCAATGTTTTTCTTAATTCAGTCACTTAAGTTTACCAATGAAGGATAAAAACAAGAAGCGATGCTTTTAATTCGAAGAAAATACGGTTAATAGTTATTTTTTTGCAATATCATCTAGAGCAGAGCTGGAACCGGTACCGGACAAGATCCAGTGTTCGGTTGAAAAAGTCAACCGAGCAGGTAAAGACCGGTATTTCACCGGTTGAAACTTTTGAAACATCTGCTCTTTTTACCCTATTTTCCGCCAAAAACTAAAATTTCAAGTCTTTTTTAGTCAGAATAAATAAGACGATGTTCAAGATACCTATTATTTTTTTTCATCACTTGTTTTAAAGTTAAAGATTATAGACTCGTTATTGTGAAGGTTGTCCCACATATGCTCGCAAACTATTTTATTTCTGGGAAAAATTCTTTCTGAAAACCGATTTTCAAACAACTTCGCCAGGTTTTCACCGATATTTTACCGGTTTTTCGCCGGTTTGAGTTATAATTTCAACCGGTCCGGTTACACTTTCAGACCGGTCGGACCGGACCGGTTTAACTCTGTTTCATGTGTGAACATCCAGTTTTTTTTGCTACTGCTAACTGAATGTTTAAAAGGTAACAAGTTTTTGTAGATAAATAAATTGGAATACTTTACAACAAAATTATTTGTAGAAAGTGACCAAAAACGATAGTTGTTGCTGTTGATGAAACAAAAGTAAATAATGATGATGATGATGACGTTGGTGTTAAAAAGGTGTCAAAATTAAACTCATTCTTGTACATGTTTTGTATAGTTCGAACAGTTTGAATCGAATTACATTGTGGCACATTACAATTGACCATGAATACACTACGAAGCTGTCGACCTTGAAATTGATGAATAGTTTCATCAGTTAATTGGTAAAATGATGGTGAAATCTGAATATCTTCACAGTAAGCACAAACTTTTGTTGCTGCTAAATTTAGTGTTTCCATTAGTAATGCACAATAAGTACAATTCTGTTCAATTGGACAAGAATCATTAGAAATATTTGAATAAATTAAGCAGGATTCTTGTGGGTTCGGTAACGTTTGATTTGATACTAACAATGGTTCAATTTTATTAAAATCAATGGATACTGATACGGATTGTAGCAATAATTTTAATATATCTGGATTATTGCATTTATCTGTTCCACATACATATGTGACACCATGCGTAAATCGATATTCGGGATCAAATGGTGATGGTGTAAATACACCCGTATATACATAATCTCCTTCTACCAAACTATCATTTTGTTCTGTTGATATATTAATGGTACTTAATTCTGTTTTAAACCATTTTACACTGTATTGCACAAAGATCTTTCGTATCAACTGTGACACAACCAGTTGGATCGGGGATATTGTCTGCTGTAATTGAATAGTTATATGTGCTTCCCATACATTTATGACAAGTCAAAGTCGAAATAGAATCAGTTTCTAACAGCAGTGGGACTACTATTGGATAAATAAACAAAAACGCAATCATTCTTGAGAAAAATTTCATATGTTTTTAGAAAAGAAATGATTCATATGTAAACGGAGTTTAGTGTAAATTAGAATAGAAGAATTAAAGTAAAGGTGATCGTTATCAGTCAATGACCTATCTAGAGTTTAAACATGTGGTCTTCGTGTTTTCTCATGCAAAAGATGATCTAATTTTATAAACAAAGATTTTTTTATTTGACAGATGTAAATTTTCTGTCATTGGTTATAACATTATTTTATTTTAGTTACTAGTGACTTAATATTAAATCTGACAGCTTTTGAGGACACAATAAGGTACTGTAGAAAAAATGATTGATTAGATCTTTCATACTGTCTTGTCTTATATCAGAAAATAGCAATTTATCAACGCAAAATATGTGATACACATTGTATTAAAATTAGAACATCAATTAAAAATTAAATAATGGTTGGAGATAAAAACAAACATATGTTGCTAATAGAAAAAAAAAACTCATGTTTTACGAAAGACATGAAGTGTTGTCATAACATAGATTTATTATCTTCAATGTGTCTAAAGAAGAACAAGAACGTTTTTGTTAGAATATAATGGAGGTAAAGGTAACTATCATCAATCGTCTCAATTTACTACAATATGTAGTTAACATCAGTCCTCTTGTCAGAAATACAAATTTTTATTGTTATTGAACAATGACAAAAAGACAACAGTTAGTAAAATACTATCAACTGTCAAAATTTAGTTACTAAAACATAGTTGTAGTACTAAATAAACAAAACTGCAATTTTCTCGTATCTGATGATGACGGTCATTATTATTGGTTCTATAAGCTTTAGTCATTAATCATCCTCTACGCACCGATAAATATTACTACTACTACAACGAGCGAAAAGTATTTGTATACTGATCACTGTATCATTTGCTATAGTGCACTGTGCACAATATTTGATTCCAAAACACAAAAAATATAGCGGTTGTTTTTACTATTTTTTTATTGATTCATGATACAACATTCAATGCTGAACGTAATGGCAGTTTCAATGAACTATTGGTTGATGATTTACGAGAAAGTTGTTGTCAAAAAAGAGGTACATATACTTGAACAGATATACAAGACTAACAACACGGGAGCCTTCTAAGTTAGCACAGCTAAGTCTCATTATAACTTTAGTTCGATATGAGAGCCCGTCTTATCGTTTACACATTAAGCGAAGGATGAAAAGTTACTCATATATTCAGAAAGCTGAAAGGAAACTAGACACATATTGCAAGTGATTATTTTCATTGTTAACAGTAACGCTCTTTGCCTTACCTGTTAAAAGACATCCTGTTCCATATCCTTCTTGAAACAATCGTCAATTTAAATATTTCAGTTGAAAGCAAAAAACACGCATACATTGAAAAAAGATAATGACATTCATCGAAAACTAGATAGGATACTACGTGTTGTTAATACTGTGTCATAGCGTTTTGATTTGTATCCGTATAGTGACAGCATGATTTCTTTTGACTTTTGCAGATACAGCAGTTTATACAACACTATCAATCGATCCACTAGGTAATACAATCCATGGGCAGAGTGGGACAGACACAGTGATAAACAAATATTGGGATTTAGTAGACTGAAAAAATGAATCTTTTATGACAAAGTCCCATTCTGCATTTGTTATTCGTTCTCAAAAAAGATGATTTCTATTTCTATTTTCGTTTACAGATGATCTGAAACTAAACAATTTGAAATTGAATAGTAAGATTAGTATTGAAAGTTTGCAATCGTTACTTGTTGCAGCTGGTAATATTGATTCAAATCTACAACGGTTACATGCTACCACAAAAATTAAATTAGGTTCACATTTTTGGGGCAAGACAGAGATACATCAAAGCAAAAACCCAAAGGACTGGATAGAAAAGTTTACAAAGAATGATAGGTTAAGGAGAAAATTCGACGCTATTTTACAAACAGCACACCTTCAAGAGAAAATACGTTTGTTACCAGGTACGTCACACTTTATACTGAAGAATCTAATATGATTCTCGATTACACCTCAAGAGGCAGTTAACACAATATGAAAAATCATGTATTTTCATAATTTTCTAGAAGCAAAAGCTGAATTACAATATACAGAACAACCTACAAATGATAAAACATAAGAGTAGCTATAATTAAGTAAAAAATACAGTATATTTGGAATAATTAACGCTTTTTATGTGTGATGATGCTTTCCTAATGCACTTTTTGATTTAATAAAACGTTTTATTAATTGTCGTGAATATGCAGCATTCTGATATGTCAGCTGATACTAACTTCTATTTGTTGAATTTGCATCTGTTCAGCATAGCTACTTAGGTAGAGTTTCGAGGCGCGGGTGTCACCTCGGTTTAGAGCATTTTTTTTTCCTGGTCTTGAACTTGAACCTGGTATTCCTGACCCGACTTGAACTTGAAAATTTATTTTATGTCCAAGAAAACATCTAGTAACATAGGAAAGCACAAACAACCCAAACGCTTGTAAATAAAGTGCCACCACGCGGAAAAGAGAACAACGGCGAAAAGAGAGTATAGAAGAAAAAAACAATAACAAAAAACAATACACTTATAGGGATCGGTGAACACATAACGCTCATTTGAAAGTAGGAATTGTTTGACGAGATACAACAGTATGTGGCAGGGAATTCCAGTCAACAGCAGTACGGTAGAAAAAAGAAGCTAACTGTTCTTTCGATACTGTCGGTGTCTCAATCTGCATACTATTCTGAGAGTTACTATTCAAACGGTCTGATCTTTTTTGTCTACTAATGGCTTTATAAAGGGCGGATCGAAAACGCAGAGAGGTGAGAGAAAATTTTTAATTTTGAAAAAATGTAATAACCGAAAATACTTCCTCCGTGTAAATAAATCTGGCACCTTTAGTTTGGTGATCAAAGAGGTTACCGAACCATTAAACTTTTTAGAGATCACACGAGCAGCTAATTTAGTAATTTGATCTAAATCTTCTTTATACCATTTACTATCGTAAACTACACTAGCGTAATCTAGCCTAC